ACACACACACACACACACACACACACACACACACACACACACACACACACACACACACAGTCACTGCAAATACAAATATTTATATACTGCTTACAGGAATGATTAATTTAACACATACACAGATATACACTGGTGATTCTTTGTATTAGTTTCCCAACCTCAGGTACGGGGCCCTGGATGAGCCATTGGGGAGTAAGGTGAAGAGACTGTCAGCTCGGAGGCCGTCGGCCACCAATAACACCAGTCTGGAGGCGGGCGGTGCCAGCGGTGTGGTCTGGGGCGCCATGCCGTGGACCAAGGGGGAGGTGAAGTAGATGTCGAAGATAGAAATAAAGAAGACCACGTGGACCGTCAGTCCAACCAAGAAGAAGGTGATCATCCTCATTTTGCCAGTTGTGCAGAACAACCTGAAGACAGAGGAAGAAAGAGGGAGGATTTTATGTATCTGTGGGTGAAACATGAGAAATAAAGACAATAAAAAATGATTGAGGTAAATATGGATAATAACTCAGTTATACAGTCTAACTATAACAAAAATAGGTAACTTCAAAGAGAGAATGGGTCATTATAAAGGCTCTGCATCATTAATGAATTCTATTTAATAAAAGTGTTATTTCACATCACACTTAATCAAAACTGAAAATGTGAATTCTTTGAGCATTTATCAGTTTAGTAGGTTTATTAAACCTTAATTCAGTTTGGAAGGAAATGACAGTGAGAAGTGATGGTTTACTCAACATTTTCTCTCTTACTTGAAGCAATTTTATGTATCTATTTATTCATTGGGTTTTGTGTGTATTGTTTTGGTTCGATCTTTGGCAGATTATCAGGTTCTGCATCATGTAGACTAGTTCAGATATATTTGCCATGTAAAGACCAAAACAATCCTTCTGTCACCTTTGGCCAACGTGCAAAAATAATGACTTGTATACATTGATTTCTTTACATTTTAATTGGATCCATCGCCTCAACACACAAAGAGGCCATGAAACGAGTCTTACCTGTTTGTAACGTCAGCGGGATTCCCACCACACAACCGGAGGTTACTGCCTCGTTAATGAATGAATGGATGAGCAGAATAAACTACTTCCATTTCACCTATTCCCCTTTTCACACTCTGATTCGACTTCCATTTTATCTTCGTCAATCCCCAATTACAGACACGGAGAACCCGACAGGCTGCTGCTGTACTCAACCCGATCAACGTAATCTGTACGTGCGAGCGTTTACTAAACCAAGTGTCCTTCTTTTAAGAAGATTACTTCAAGAAATACAGGAGCAACGAGCATTCACTTCCGTGTTTTGACTTGACGTTGACCTGTGCACCCTGCAGCGGGATTGTGGGTAATGTAGTCAAACTATGTATCATCCAGTTAGCGCTCTTATAAAATAAATGACGTATCTCTAAATGTTGATGCTTTGATTTTCACCATGTGATTATTTATGTCACAGAGCAGATGAACAGTAAAATGTTATTTCCACATGTTGCGGTTCTTTGACACATCAGCGACCGAAGCCTGCGTGCTGTCATCCGGGCCCTGCCCAGTTTTCCTTTCTGTCTCCGCTATCCAATCATTCCCCAGAATCTCGTCCAAGAGGCGGGATGTGATTGTAACGTGTCTGGAATCTGACCAATCGTCGCTGTGCATTCCTTTCCTCTTGTCACATTGACCAACCAAAGCCCAGCTAGCTTCAGATCCATTCAGGAAGAAGCGGTTCTGATTAGCCTAGCTGGCTTCAGGCTGCTGGAAATCTTTATCGTGCACAAAAGATGGCGTCAGTCAACCCGTTTAATCTCAGCGACTCCGAGGAGGAGGCTGAGCGGCGCCCGAATGAGACGGTTGACACAGAGAGGAGCCCGAGCGACGGAGCTCCGGGGCCCCCTCCGCCGCCTGGCAACCCCTTCTCCCCGCCCGCAGACGCCGAACCTCCGACGCTGCTGCTGTCTAGCAACCGAACGAGCCCCAGCGGCGAAGGCATCCCGCTGTCGGCCGCGGCGAGCTCGGCTATGGCAGGCAGCGCCGAGACGCGGGTGTCGGTGGATGTCATCGCCGCTCAGCTGTTGCGGGACCAGTACATCCTCACGGCCCTGGAGCTTCACACAGAGCTCCTGGAGGCGGGCAGGGAGCTCCCGAGGCTGAGGGATTATTTCTCCAACCCCGGTAACTTCGAGCGACAGAGCGGCACTCCACCCGCCAAAGACCAGGTTCTCGGACCCGGTGGACCCCTGAGTAAGTACCTGCTGTCAGCTATCTCCGTTCTAAATTCTAATAGCTAGCTCACATTTGCGTAAAACATTGGATGTGGAAGCCAGTCGATCGCGAGCTATCCGCCTCCTGCACCTGTCATCCTGGACCTGTCCTCCTGGTGGAGCAGGGTCGAGAGCCAACAAGCGGGTTTTGTGGGTCAGATGTGTTGTCTGACACAAACTAGAGCATCTTGGAAATCTGATGAGTGTCCATTAGTTGACAGAAGATGAATTGTGAAGAGGGATCCCTGATACCGTGTCTGGCCTGCAGTGATCAACCTGATGTAATCCAACCCCTGATAGAACATACATGTTTCCTTCGTGTACATGGAGGTCAAAGGTCAGAGAGATGCAACACTCAAAGATGAGGCTTTGTGTCCAGGGTCAGGGAGATGAGAAATTGTTTTGGTTTGCACTTTACAGGATGTAAAACTGTAGCATCCTCTTCCACTTTCATTACTGCCTGCATGGAGGAACTTGCAGCAAACTGTGGTTGGTGAACAGTGTCTGGACCCATATGCAAACATGGCATGGAAATGGTAACCATAGTGACATCCCATGCCTCAAATAAAGCCTGCAGAATAGCAGCAGGACTAGTAGCTCCACACACCTCAAACAAACTGGTAAACAACAGGAGCTCTGCATTTAAGGAAATTGAAATGGAAATGAATGCAGTGTTGGGGAATAATATGTGATTTTATAACGTGCTCTGACTGCAGATTTTTTAAATACTGGACGCTCTCAATGAGTGGAGATTTTAATGGAAACTACTGAGTCGTGCAATGCAGTGATTGAAATATTGTGTTTTAGGTCCAGGAGAGGAAGGAAGACAAGGAAGGATGTCTGATTCAATTTGAATGGATGGTGACATATCCACCCTGTCTGTTAAACAAACAAGCAGGGCTATCGGCTGCCAATCAAATTAACTATTAAACTTTATACAAACGCTTACAGTCGCTCTCCTCTAAATTGCCTCTTGAAAAACAAGGTGTCCAACAAGATCAATATTGCTTTCAGTATTTTCAAAACTGACGTGGTATGTGCTGTGCCGTGACATGTCTCCTGGCACAGTTGTCAGCATTTGAATTTATGAGGAGCTCCGCTCAGTGTTGCAACAGTTGTCGTTTTTATTCATTAAATGAATTGCAGGCTGAGCAACAAGTCAAAATGATCATTTTTCATTGTATAAACCACCATCAGCTGAGAGAGCTACACAGTTTATGCTGAAGAAGGAAAGGATGGGGTATTATTCACATTAGATTTCTCCTCCCCCATTGAAATGCAGTAGCACTGGACAATCACCTGATATCTCAGGAGATTGCTGTGTTGTCCTGAGTGTGGGTCGAGGCAGCTGCCCTGAGGCTAGCTTCAGCAGCAACCTGTCAGATTCACTGCATCCTTTGTCTGTCAGTGTGAACCTCCCCCCTGTAGAATTAGGCAAACTGGCTTTCTATGCATGACTGCAGCAGCACACAGAAACATGTGTGAGCTCTGTGTGTGAACAGCAAAGCAGTGTAGTTGTCTTGTGGCTGAAATATCCAACAAACAAGCCCTCAGACTATTTGGAGCAAGGTAACAAATAAACGTTAAGAGATGACGTCTTTGAAAAGCATGACAGGACTTGACAGCACTCCTGTTTCGAAACTGACAGTAAGGTCATGGAGAAATGGTAATCACGCTCTCACTGGCTTTGGATGAGAGCAGAGGTTCATACAACTATTACGTCCTGGAGGAAGTTGGGTACTCAGATATACCACATGCAGGCAGAAAAAAAGAGTTGATGTGATGGAAAACAGTTGACTCAGCCCAAGGCCATGTCACTTTTCTGTCCAGTATAATCTGAACCTCATGTGATCACTGGAATGATCTGTTTCCACATGTTCGAAGCTCGATGGGCAGGATTCCACTGTTGCACTGCAACATTTAGATACAGTTAAGTAGTCAATGAGGAGGAAGGGATACCGAATATCTGATGTCTTCTGTTGGGGACAGAGCGAGTATTGGGTTAAGTCCCTTTCCCATGTTTTTTTCCAAATAATAGTACCACATTAAACTGTGAATCTATAGTACACTATGGAACGTAACATTTACTCAGTGTTAAAGTAAATTCAGAAGCAAACTATAAGCAGTGTCATTGTTGTGATCACAATAAATACACAACCATTAACTGTTAGCCACAAGCTCTGAGCATGTATATGGATGATTACTGTGTCACAAGCTGCATTATATCTGCAGCTGCTGCTCGAAGCCACATGACAGCACAAGGCATCTCTCACCACTCAGCTAATTTGCTGCAAGGAAGCATGAACGACCCTCTCGCCACCTCTCATTGGCCGGTCAGATAGATATTTGCTCATGTGATGTGGAGAACATGGAGTGTAGTATGCAAGTCACTGAAATTGTTTTACCACGGAGCCACCAAAGCTAAGAAGTATGCATGGTTTGCCATGTAAGACCTAATTTGGGATACCAGAAATTGGACACATATCTACCATGTGCTACTTCACATCGGTCAAATGGTAGCTTCACATGATCATTTCTCGGTTAGCTTGTTTGCAACCATAATTCATGTGCTGCCCAGTTACATATCTGTAACTTTGGCATTGTGGCAATCCAGGTCAACCACATAACAGCAAACATTGTGGTCACTGTCAGCCGTTTGATACAACCCTTCTATTTGTACCGCTCCCTGAACAACTCGGCAACTAAGCTGGCCCAACCTTTTCTCTCTTTTTCTCACTTTATCACGTCTGTCCATCGTGTCCTCTGTGCACGGTAGGGGGTTAATACTGTGTGAGAAGGTGATTAATGATATTGTTGGTCTGTTGGCCAGCTGCCATGCAGTTCTGGACCGGCTCTGACCGGTTGCTTGCTCATAACCGTGCCTATTTGCTGCATCCACATTCCTTCCATATAAAACGATAATATGTTGGATACCTGCAAACCATACTTCCATTCATTCATGTCTGCATTTGTGTCAGCCCTTTTTTAAATGCATCTCTTCGTCCTGTTTAAACTCTTGCACCTCTTTCTCCTCCTCCAAGCTGTCTGCTTTGTTTATTCTACACACCAAAGCAGGAAAACATCCCTCTGTGTTTCACACTTTGGTTTAGTTTTATTCCTTAATGCCCTTGACTTCCTTTCTGAGATTTTATTTAAAATCACAACCTGGCAGAGATAAAGAAGCACAATGATGAGGTTTGTTTTTAACAAGCGATTCAATGTGACACTCCTTTACTCAAGAGCATAGAGAGTGTGGGAGGGAGAGAGACACTGCATGCATTTGTGTGTGTGTAGCACAACCTGCCTGCAGGAGAGCGGTGAAGAGGTGACAGTCAGAGCTATCACACTTCTGACAAGTCACACCACAGGCACAGCACTGAAAGGTCAGCCAGGAAGAAATACTTGTTTTTTGTGAATTAAGCTTAAATCACATCTGTGCATGCTCCTGGACATTGTGGAATTACAGGTTGGTTCTCTTTTGGACATTTTTTTTTTACCAAATAGATTGCGACTATCTACTCACTCATTTTCAGGAATAGCAGCTGAAAGCTGCAGGAAGAGGGATTAACCTGACGTTGTCATTACAGAGCGATGACTCTCGATTAATGAAAACAGCCGTCACTTGCTGTCACAAGCCCGATTGTCTGTGTTTGTTGTGGAGCCACATGGTCAGACATTCGAAGATGCCACATGTACATGTGTGATGGGGTCTTTGTGGTTGTGTCCGATACTCATTGACAAAATATCATTCCTAAACCTGATTCTACAGCCCTTTGTGAGGACCTGTTCTTCTGGCGTCCTCATAAGTTTATCTCTTTCCATCCAAAGTAATAATTAACTCCAAGAACAGCCTCAGAAGATAAGCAGCATTGATAATTTAAGTTTATCAGGCACGCAAGCATCAATATTGATCCTTCCTCATTAGATTATTCTATCACACTCAAAACGCAGAAATAATCAAGGTCTCTAATATGAAAAAACCTGTGGTCTCGAGGTTAAATACTAAATAATACTTTCTTTTTCCAAGCTACGGCTTTAAGGCTAACA